CCCTGTACCATGTGGGAGAGCTGGAAGATGTTCCTGGTTCCTGGCTTCAGTTTGGCTCAGCTCCAGCAGTTACTTGGGGAGTAAACCAGCTGATGTAAGATCCTTCTGTCTCTTTTTGCCTCTGTAAATATTTTTCAATTAAATAAATATTTTTAAATTAAGTAATCATATGATTAAATGTGTAAAACAGTACAAATATTTAATTGCTTGATGCTTCATATGAGTGAGCCTTTTATTCTCATTGAGATCATCTTGAAATGCATCATGGAAGTTGTAATCTTTGAATAGAACTTAAACCAAGAGGGCTCAGCTGATTGTAAATAAAGAAGCAAGCCGGTGGTGAAGTATGAAGAGTTTTCTTTGGAGATATTGCTATGAACAAAGGAGTAGGACCTGATGAGTAAGATGTATCCAGAAGGAGTTTAGTGGTACAATTAATTATGATACAAATACCACTAGGACTACTGGGGAGAAAGAAATATCAGTTGAATTCAGGTTTTATTTAAAAAGCTGTCATAATGAGTTCGCAACACAGAGTAAGAAAGATGCTGTTTGCATTTACATATATATATGCAAAAATATAATCTTTACATGCATATAAAGAAAAATATATTTGTGTTCCTATACAAATACAGATCTAAATTTTATTTTAAAATTATATAGTATAATAATAATGATGACCATTAAAGTGTTAAACTATCATATAATTTTGTCAGAGTTTACTAACAAAATATTGTTGACAGTAATACTTATGAAGAAGTATGATATCAGCAGAATGGAAGAGATAAGTAGTTAGAGATCTACAAACACACAGGTGAGTAGATTTTATGGTGAGCAACTTAATGATATTAAGAATATTGATGAAATTTCAGTGTTAAGAGAGGAAGGACATGGCAACCTCAAGATATACTACTCAGTGGTCATCTGGTTAAGCCACGGCTTGAGAACCTGGCATCCCACTTGGAAATTAGTATGATTCTCACTGTTCCACATCTTATCCAGCTCCCTGTTAATGTATCCAGGAAAGCAGTGAAAGATGGCTGAAAGCCTTTATCCCAAGCGAAGCACATGGGAGACCCAGGTGAAGTTCCTGGCTCCTGGTTCCTAGCTTCAACCTGGCCCAACTCCTTTTTTTTTTTTTTTCCCATATTAGGAGTGGATTCGTGAATGGACGATCTTTCTCTGTCTCTTCTCTCTCTAGCAAAGAAGATAAATTGACATACAGCAATGGTTCCAGGCCCAGACTCATTTGAAGACTGAAAATGAATGACGCATTCTTACTATTTTCTGTATTTGTGCTATCAACTTCATTCAACTTTGCAAATATTTCGCGATAAGGATTTGATTGCAAATAACACTATACTATTCATGGATGTGTATAAAGAATAGTAAGATTCCTAAATTATATTATATAATAGTTTGTAGGTTTACCCAATGTAGAAAACCAAATATCTGCAAGGGGGAAGATGCCAAATATTTCCTGTATGTGTGGACCCTTATCCCTTTTATACACTCTGGAAAAGTGTCAAGGAAGGTGAACATTCCTTGAAACAGACATTGAAGACTGATAACAATCCATTCCACAATGAGGGTCAAAGTAGTTAAGGGAAGGAGATGATCATTTTAACATGCATAGATAAACAAAGAGCAGATAGCTGGGAAATTGAGGTATTCCCGGGAAGATTCCAATAACTCATAATGTCATAAAAGCTATCCCATTTAGCATTGTGGAGGGAGAAAATTTATCGTTAAACCAAAGTGTGGTCAGGAAGAATTTCACGTGACATGAGGGTGAACAAGCACATGGTGAGATGGAGACATATGAAGCATATAATATGAACATACATAAGAACAAGCATATGAGGGCCCCTCAAAAATTTATGGAAAGTGAAATTAAAAGATACATGCATTTGGAATAAAGATTTTGAGATCCATGCATAGTTATTGCCATAATAGGCATTTCTCACAAACTTTCTGAAAACTCCTGGTAAACATATAACATTCAGGACTACAAAAAGAAAGCTGATAACCTGCTTGTTAATCAGACCTCCAAACTGTGGGAAAAAATGATACATTATAAATACTTACTTTTGTAACATTTATACAAACAACTAATTTAATATTTTTTCTTGATACTTCCCCACTATTTATGCAAAGAGTGAACCCTAGTGATAAGAATAGCAACAATTCATCTTGGTGTGTAATATTTTTGATTGTCATAAGGGAGAGACAAGGTGGCTTGGCATGACTGACAAATGTCTTAGATTGGTACTAAGATATTAACAGTAGATGAGTTATAGTGCAGCAGATTCAGTTGCCAGTTGTGAGCTGGCGTTGCATGTCAGAGCACCGGTTGAGGACTGGTTGCTTTCTTTCCAATCCAGCTTCCTGCCAACACACTTAAAAGGCAGCCAAAGACCTTGGATCCCTGACATCCATATGGAATAATCAAATGGAGTTCTGGGCTCCTGGTTTTGTTTACCTCTGCGACCATTTAGGGAGTAAATGAGCAGCAGAGGTTCTCTCTCCTTCTTTCTCTCTCTCTCTCTCTTTTAAATAGATAATAATGCTGATTAAAAAAAAATTTTTAAGAGTGATGCACCTGGGTCCGGCGCAGTGGCGCAAGTGATTAAAGGTCCTCGCCTTGCACGCCCGGGATCCCATATGGGCGCCAGTTCTATCCCGGCAGCCCCACTTCCCTTCCAGCTCCCTGCCTGTGGCCTGGGAAAGCAGTAGAGGACGGCCCAAAGCTTTGGGAACCTGCACCCGCGTGGGAGACCTGGAAGAGGCTCCTGGCTTCGGATCGGCATAGTATCAGCCCGTTGCGCTCACTTGGGGAGTGAGTCATCGGACGGAAGATCTTCCTCTCTGTCTCTCCTCTCTGTATATCCGCCTTTCAAATAAAAAAATAATAAAAATAAATCTTTAAAAAAAAAAAGAGTGATGCACCTTATCTACATTTTGCTCTAAGACACATTTCAATTTTATGAATATTTAGGGTGTAGTGTGTGTAAGCCACTGTCTGCATAGACAGAAAAATTAGACTAACTGCTGAAAGTATTTTGGGCTAAAACGAAGCATTGTACTAGGATAATGTGACTAACAACAACAACAACAAAAAGCTAAACATTTCAGATGAATTAGCTGTTCTAGCCTATAATCTGAGAATGGGTCAACTTTTAAGATGAGCTAGAGAAAAGAATGCTAGTCTAACTCTCAGTGAAAACGCAGACACTAAGGATGAAGAGGTTTCTCTGAGGAGACACATGTATGAGACGAAGTGTGTACTTGTGAGACTAATGTGTGCTCAGAATTCTCAGTAATTTATTTTGACTGCAATACATGTCCCATAAGAAACAATGTAGAAAAAATTTTGTAAAGAAACAATGTAGAAGATGTGCTTCCAGTTTTGTTTCCTTGTGAAGTGGTTCAAATATTGCCAGGATAAGCAGCGTGACAGCTATTCTGTGTGCGTATTGGCTCATATTTATATAATGCACATATGTGTATGCAAACAAGCATACTCTTCCAAAGCTTCATCACAAATTAGTATTTATAACTTTTATGATTAAAGGAATGATATAGTGTCATTGTTATCTGTATTAAATACATGATGTATGTATCCATATTTATTCACATATTTATAGATTCATATAAATGCACAGACATTATATGATATACATACAAGGGACCTTCAAAAATTTCATAAAAATGCAAGGATTTTAAAAAAGTTTTGTTTAAATATTGCACTTTTTAATTCCTTTTATGAACTATTTGAAGTACACTTGTATATACATATATATATATAATTTGACAACATAATTTGGTGAAAAGAATTGTCACCAAGTCAGATTTCTACTTATGAAGAATTATCTTGAAGCAATGTATGGAGTTTTGGAGCACATATGTAAATAGAGATTTACAAAACACAGATGAAGAAGTGTAGAGCAGATCCCCAGCGGTGTCAGTGAAAATGATCATGGAATTTGGGCTGAGTGAGGAAAGGCAGGAATGAGCTGGAAACTCATTCCTCAATGGAGTTACTGAGTATCAACCATGCGGAAAGCTGTTGTTCAGGAATTTTTCAGGAACAATATCCAAACTCTGATTTACTTCATGTTTTAACAGCATCTACCACACAGTATGACATCATTTTATCTTAATATTATTTGAACTTTTGTAATAGGAATTCAAAAACTTGAATTGTCAGACACATTCTGATAATTTTATCAAATTCAGCAATTTTATCTTCATCTTCTACCTTCAGTTTTTATGTTAATTTTAGCAATAATGTTACCATTTCTTTCTCCTTTGGTCTCTTCTCTTTTCCTCTTACACACACAACCAAAACTAATTCTTCAATCCAGTTAGTGAGATTTCTGAATTGGTTGCACTTTTAAACTTGCTGAAGAATGGAGACACCCAGCTGGAATGGCTCTTTAAAGTCGGGATAAACATGACAAACCTCTCCTTAGTCACAGAGACATACTGAGCTAGGAGTATCCTCTGTTCATACGTGTTTAAATTCTCATTTCTTTTTTGTTTGTTTGTTTAATTCTCTGCATGCTGTGTGAACTGAATTTTTATCAATTCCCAAGCAGATGGAATACAAGACTTTTGATAGCTGCCAAATTTTTGAGAGCCATCCATACTGAAACAAACAGCAATATTCTACTATCATGGAGTAAATGTGGTATGAGTTGGCAGCCATTACACCTATGTTGGTGTCAAAGATGCCACTTTCAAGTCCAACACGATTGTAGCACATATGCCATTTTAAAGTGATACTGAAAAACACAAAGGACTCTGAAATGTTGTTGCCTTTTCATTTATATATACAGAACATACATGAATATTTAAGGGATTTTTATGTGCTCCCAATAAAAATCATTAAAAAGCTTAAAATGATAATTGCAAGAAATCTTTCAACATTTGCTGAAATATATTCAAGTCTAACTAACATAACTTTAATAAAAACAAAATCTGCCAAAGTGGAAAATCTAAAACTTTACCTTAAACATTTTTGTTAATGAATCTATTACTTTCTTATTTCTCAGACTGTAGATTACTGGATTTAACAGAGGAATTATGACTGTGTAAAATAAGGAGTCTACCATATCTTGATCATTTTCTTGTTGAGATGTAGGGCGTACATACATGAAGAGAAGAGACCCAAAATACAGAGAGACAGAGAAGAGATGAGCTCCACATGTGGAGAAGGCTTTTCTTACACCTTTTTCAGATTTCTTCCTTAAGATTGTGAGAAGAATAAATGTGTAAGAGACAAGGATAGTCAAAATGGTGAAAACCTGAATTGATCCAGAGAAAATAAAAACCACCAAAATATTAATAGAAGGATCAGTACAAGAAATCTGTAACAGTGGTATAATGTCACAGTAAAAGTGATGAACAACATTGGAATGACAGAATGTTAATCGGAATAAAAGTACTTCATGAATTAAAGCATGAATAAAGCCACCCATAAATGTTAAGATTAAGAGTTGGATGCAGAGTCTATTGGTGATAATTGTTGGATATAGTAAAGGTTTACATATAGCTACATAGCGATCATACGCCATTGTGGCCAACAAAAAACATTCTACAGTTTCACCTATTACAAAGGAAAAAAACTGTATCATGCATTCTGAGAATGAAATCATCTTATTGTTGTCTAACAAGTTTACTAGCATTTTCGGAGTCACTGTGGATGAAAGCCAAGCATCTACAAAGGCTAAACACCCTAGGAACAAGTACATGGGGATGTGAAGGTGAGGGTCACTCCAGATGACAGCAATGAGTCCCAGATTCCCCATGATGGTGAGAAGATATGTCAGCAAGAACGCTAAGAAGAGGGGAATTTTCCACTGTGGTTTGTATGTAAGTCCTGTGAGAACAAACTCGGTCAATAATGTTGTATTTTCTATTTCCATGTCATCACTGAATGTATCCTGAAACGAAATGCAACGAATGTAACAGAATTACTCACCTAGGATTCATAAAGTTAATGCTAGGGGAGGGGAGCTGAAACAAAATCAAACCCTTAATAATTTATGCCATACTACAGTAGACAGAGACTATTTGAGGGGAGTGGAAGGAAGTGAAAAAATACACACAAAAATAAATTGACCTTTTTTAAGGAGAAACTCTCTGTACATCTGTTGAATTTATTTGAATGCTTTTCATTAAGTTTAAAGAAAAAAAAATCTCTTGCATCCAGTGTTATGGGTCAAGTTAGCATCCAGACCACTACCATCAAACATGGAACCAGTTTGATTCCTACCCATTCCATTTCTGATTCCTCTTCCTATGAAGACAGCAGAGTATGGTCCAAATTCTTGGGCTGTATCAACCACATAGGAGACCCAGATGGATTTCCAGGCTCCTGGCTCAAGCCTGTGGCAGGCCCAACTATTGTAGCCACTTGGGATGTAAATCAGGAGATGGGAGACCTCACTTTCTCACTGTTACTTTCTTTGTCCTTCTGTAACACTGTCTTTCAGGTAAACGAAGAAAATTCTACTTAAAAAATTCTGTGTCTGTCATATAAATTCATGGTCTAGGGACAAAATTTTTGTAACGCTTACAATATAATAAGAGCTGAAAGCAATTTTACACAATTTGAACTTTAAGACAACAGTCTTCTATAAAAACTTTTAATATGGAGATTGGTATTCAAGACATCTTTTAAATTTAGTACCTTAAATTAAATAGTGTTGCTGGTTGCAAGTAGAGGGGGAGGTTGGATTAAAAGAAGAGCATTCAGGAAAATTACAGACTAATAAACTTACAGATATCCCAAACCAGATTCCATAACAGAATTGTTTAGGGAGGCTCATCATCGAACTGGAGTATGTAAGATTACTTTTGAAATACATTGATTATATTAAAAATGAAGTCTATGTAGATGCAATTTTCAAATGCTATCTAGGTCATTCATAATGCATACAAAGGATCTGGTTTATGCATTCATAATGCATATGAAAAATATGGTTTATCTATCTAAATATCTTTAAAACAATAGGACAGATTTAAGATAAAATCACAGTGTTAAGACTTCAAGACATGATATCTATGAAAAACAAATGGCGAGTTAAAGAAAATAAAGTCACTTGGTGATTTAAAATGAGGCTGAAATTTTGAATTTCTTTGCAGAAATGCAGAAGGAGCACCCTCTGAACATCCGGATGAGATGTTAGTCATATCATACTGTTAGTGCATAATAAAAATTACAAGAAAACCACTGGGGTAGTAGAAAGCATCATGGATCTTTTGGAGTGTAATAGAAAAAAATCACATGAAGTCAATGTAGTTCAAGGCATAGAAGTGATATCTTATGAATTGAAGTATAGAACGAAAGCAAAAGGAGAATATCAAGGGAAAAAACTAGAGAAGGCAATCGAGATTGTAAAGTGGCTACATGCCTTTGCTAGATACATAATGCATGGCCTTTGCAGTCACATGAATCTTGATGATAGAGAGTAGCACCAAATCTAGAGTTAGAGATGAATTTTCCCATCCCTCTTGTCCTCAGAGTGAGACTTGATTCAGGCTTTGTCGATCAAAATAATTAATCATTAATTTGGAATTAAGGAAAGGAACAACAGCAACAAATTTGGAAACAAAGGCATTCATGGAAGTAATGTCAAAACTCCAGGAAATCCACCGCTCACACACAAAATCCATCGTTGACAGTCTCAGTTGTGGCATCTACAAGATTAACAGCAGTAACAGCAGCTTTCACAGAACTGCTCTTGGGACACTATTTTGGTTATTGATGGACAGCCGTGTTTTATGTTGTTTTTATTCATTTGATTATTTTTTTGATTCATACTGATTCCTACAACTTCCATGTCTTTCTCAGATCATACTCAAGAAATAATTTCATTCTTGTGCAATCAACTGTTCTGTGTTGAACAAAAAATAGTCAGAGAGGAGCCTGAAAAAGTTTATGAGCAGTGATCGGAGAAGCAGAAGGAAATCTGGAAAGCTGAATGTTATGTACACAGAGGGGAAATATTTCTAAGAAGGGCAGAGTGGAGTCAAGTCTTACCTGCTAAAACAGCTGTTCTAAGAGGATATGGGTATTAGAGACCCTTGGCTGTGGGAACAAGAGATGTTTTCAGAGGTGGGTCCAAGGATGGAAATGTCAAGTTTTAAATAAAAAGTTGAATTTGAATATGATTTTAATTAAGTAAAAGCAAGGTTCTTCACTATCAACAGAGATATTAAAGAATCACAATAAGTATTTGAACTGTTTCAATTTTTTACGTTCTGAGGTACAAATCATCTCTTGTAACGTCATTCTGATTACCAAGTTTACACAGCACAAAGCTGACAGAATCAAGTCAGTCTTACAGCTAGTTATTCTGCTTGTCCAGAATTTATCATGAAAATAAAGTATATAGGTAATTTAGCAATAGATTTCGACTGCCTCTCTAGCAACTTGTAAACACAATGTAAATTACTATAAATTAAACAAAAACTGTATTGTATTCTGTAGAAAGTAGTGAATATAATAGAAATTGTTTCTCTTACCTATCTCTTGAAAGAAGTTGTCAAGTGTCTTTAAAAGTATTCTAAGTAAAGAGTAGAAGAAATTTAATTATGTTACAAGAGTGACAATAGTATCTACAAGAAAGTGTTGGCATGCTGACTCATTTTGTAGCCTTCTTCTCCCAAGCTGAGGATATGTGTGTGTAAATTCACCTCTCATATGAGTCAACCACTTGTACAGCTGTTGCTTTAGACAAAGGAGGAAAGGGTAACAAAGCCAAAATATCCCCAGAGAACTCAAGGATTTCCTCCAGGACAAAGAAAACTTGCCCTACAGGGCATTGTAGGTTTGGATTTGCCAAAAGTTCAAATTATCCCACAGAGCATTACAGTCTTAAAAATTATAAACATCATGTCATTGCAGATGTTCTATTTTAACAATTAAAGTTAGTTTACACTCCTATGTTCCACAACAAATTATTAAAAATACTTATTACACTTGAAAGGCAGAGTTATAAAGAGAGGAAAGACAAAGAGATATCGTCCATCAACCAGTTCACTCCCAAATGGCCACAATGGCCACAGCTGGGATGGTTCAAAGTCAGAAAACTAGAGCTTCTCAGAGCTCCCAAAAGAGAGCAGGGCGAGGACTTGGGCCCTCTTGAGTTGCCTTCCCAGGCCATTAGCAGGGGAATCACTAGAAGTCGAGCTGGCACTAATATGGAATACTGGCACCGTAAGTAGAGGGTTAGGTTGCTATTCCACAACAACATTCCCAACAAATGGCATTCTTGATAACTTTACACAAACTTCACTTTTGCACAGAATCTGATCACTTTTTCAGTACAACTATATACCCTTGTCTGAGTTTATCAAACTGTAATTTCAACAATGCCAATAATCAAGATTCCAGTTAGGAGTCAACACTAAGTATTCCCAGACTGCAGCTCAAATTCAGATACGCACTTAGCTCCTTTACTTGAAGCTAAAATATGACCAGATTTTTGCTGAGAAAGATTGGGGAGGGAGGAAGAGGAAAGAAAAATATAAAGGCCATTTAAAGAGGTATTATTTAGCTGTGCTCCCAAACATTAGTAACTGAATTTCCTGCAGATGTTATAAATGGGCAGACTCTATTTCTGTAACTCAGAGGTAGGACTCAGTATTCCTGGTTTCCAACAGGCAGTGCCGTGGACATGTGCCGCGAAGGAGCCTTCGGCAGTGGAAAGCCAGGAATGTCAGAGAAAATCTTGGTTGATGAAGGTATGAATATGACTGGCGCTCAATGAGAGAAACAAGGGGGGCATGTGTGGTCAAGGTTTCAGTGTAGGCAAGATTGTGGTAGACTCAGATACTAGATCAGAAATTTTCATCTTTATCTCACCCCCCCTTTTTTAAAGGAAAATACATTTGTTTATTCATTTTAAGGATTTCTTTAATTATATTGTAAATTCAGAGAGAGAGAAGGAGAGACAGAGGAACCCACCTCTTGTCTGTCTTTTAATACTATGGTCTTCTTCGCATATATGCACCCTACATCTTCACAGATGACCATAATATGATTGTCTCTCTGTTTTACACTATCATAATTCCTTTGTTAAATCCAGTGATTTATAGCCTGAGAAACAAGAAAGTCATAGATTCACTTTCAAAACGGTTAAGAAATGTAGAAATCTCATGTTAACATTGGATATCTTTTTATTAAAAGAGTTACAAAATAACAGGGTGAATAGGACTATTTTTCCAATGTTTAAAGACTTTTGATGTCATCATTACTCGATGTTTGTATGAATTATTGTAAAATAGTTACCTCCTTAAATATTTGTATCTCTTATTCAAACACATATAAGGAATGTTATTCAAGTTTTCATGTCATACAGAAATGAAGCAGAAAACTTTCATAGGCTACTATGCTATTGCATGGCAAACATATTTAATGCTAATACAACTTAGTCACTCTCAAGATGAATTGAGCATGATGATATATTCAGCTAATAGGGATGCAGAAAGCGTGCATACTCACACCACAATTCCCACAGCAATGGTAGCTTGGTATTTGAGTTACTAGGAAAATCACCAGAAACTTTGCTATCCCTTAGAAACAGCTTTCATTACTCTTTATAAGGAATTGATGAATTTTTTTCTTATAGAGATTCAACTTACATATGAAGAAGTGGGAGGGAGTATCTAATGGACGCAGGAATAAAATGAGACGGCCATTTTATTGAAAGGACTTCTTTTTCCTTTGTTGCCTTCTAAGGCTCTTTTCCATTTGTTTTTGGTATTATTGAGCAATTTGATTTTCCCTCAAAGTTCTGAAAGTTAAAAGGCTAAAGAATTAGGTAAAAGTAGTCCTAGGAAAAAAGCAACAGAATTGAAACTTTTTAAATCATTCTCATATTGGAATGAAGTTTAAAAAAATTAAAAATAAAGCAGCAGTAATAAAGGTTTTTGA